ATTTGTCTCTGCGGCCTTCCAATATGTCCCGCGTTCGCAATTGGTCTGGACAGCCCTGCTTTATGATATTGTCAAGAGTGCAATATGTAATTATATATCAATAGTAAAAATATATATTATGAAATTTAAACCGTAATTATTGGGTTTATATTCGCTAATGACGATATGAGAAACAACATCTACTCAACCAAACAAAAAAGTTTTTTAGGTTTTTATAAATAAACAATCACTTCAAAAACATTTACGTTATTAATATTTTAATAATATTTATCAAGAAATAATTAATTATACACAACTAATAATAATAATACATTTCTTATTAACATTCCCAACAAATAAATTTTAATGTAAACAAATTAACACCAATTAAAACAGAGACTCCAGACAATAATTTAGTCATAGCCGGCAGCTACGCAAGGATTTGATTGAAATTCAAAAAATTGATAAATGCATTTAAGTATTTACTTTACTCAAGACTAATTAGCTTTAATATTAAATTAATTATATGGTATCACCGCTAAATAGACGTCTCTGTGTTCGCAAGTTATTGAAGCAGGCGACACCAGTTCAGCATACATTATCATTAAGTGGCGTCTCAGAAGTACTCCGTAAGAGATTAAGTCATTTATCAATATTTGGGTGAGTTCAATTCAATTTGCAAATAAATATTTATAAATTAAACGTAAGAGAAAAGTATTATTATATACAAAAAAAGCATTAAAATTCATGAACCATAGAATTTAAGAGTTGATCAGTGTGATCGATTATTTTTCGTTTATAAAATAAAGAAAATATGCAAATAGATAACTGGCGTCTTTAGAAGCGTGAACCCACTTTGACGCCGTTCAAAGTCAAATATAAGATTCATATATGCGCCATGTGGACGCGATAATTTGCATATCATTCAATTTTAATATCACAAAATTGATTTTTACACACACATATTTTTTATAACAATTTGATTATATCACCATTAGTATTGTATTATTTTTTTTAAATGATCACAAATTATAAGTAGAGTTGTTTTTTAGCTTAAGTTCCTAAATTATAAATTATAGTATAAAATTATAAATTATAGTTCCCAAAATTATAAAATCAATCCAATCTACTAATTATTTATTTAAAAAAATTCAAATTTCTTACTCTCATAAAAATTTTTATGTGGTGATATATAGTGGGGATACGATAAAATTACACAGTTTGACTGAACATATTTAAGTTTAAAATATGAAACTAAAACCATGGCGTTTTCCAACGCCATTGATGATGATTATTTGACAGTAACCAAAGTAGCTGTATGGTCACCATACCATGATAAAAAAGTTAAAATCTTGACTTTTAAAATTTTGTTTTTTTATTCGAAATAGAGTTCTTATCATAGCACATAAATTTTATATATAATATTGTATATAGTTTAATGTATGTATATAGTTTCATTCTGACATTAAAATATATATTTTACTATATTATTAGTAACTGCGTGGGTTTCTATCCTCAATCTTAATACCTAACAATATGATTTTGTTGAACATTTAATAAAAATTCTTATTAATATATATACTTCTATTAAAAAAATACATAATTATACATATTTTTAATCATATTTAAATATTATAAATATACAAAAGATCAATAAACTGTAGAAATCACGTTTTAGATTTATTTCAGATAGAATTTTTTATATAAACTCTCTTGTGTCTTTTATAATAATTGTATGTTATACAGCAGAATTTAAAATATGTCAATAAAACAGACGGAAGATCTATCGACCCAATAAACAGTTTAAATGCATTTGTCTGGTTGAACTGATAAGATTATTTTAATAGACTCTATTGATAATAATAATGTATAATAGTATTAATATATAAGAAAAAGGTGTGTCTATTAATCTATAGTATATACAAATAAAAAATTTCTTATAAAAATTAAAAATTTGTATTTTTATTTAATTTTTTATAGAGGATAGATATAGTTTTTATAATGTTATATATTGAGATATACTATATAGTGATATACTTTCCAATTAAATGAATTTTATTTGATAAAATGAAACATTCAAAATGTTACCAAGAAAAATTATGACAATGTACTATTGTATATAGTCAACAAGAACAAAACCGAATATGATTTTGTTTAATTACTTTAGCAATAAATGAAAAAAGAGTTGTCTTTGATTTTTAACTTTTGATCTATATCTTTAACAAAATTTATTACAAATTTATATTAGATTAGATTTTAAACGGGTTTGAAATTTGTCAGCACGTCACTACGTCCTTTGAGGATTATTGTGACAAACTCACTTTAGTTCTATAGACGAGTATCAGTTAAAAACGCCATTATGTTCTTTGCAGAAATGTTATCTAATTCCGTTATAAGGAGATAGGCAGTTGATAATTACCGAAGTCTGAGTCTGGCGAGACTATCACAGTGACACAGAATGTGTTCTGCTGTCCTCTTCTTCGTAACAAAACCTGAAGCCATCGTCTCTTGTACACCGCACTGTCCAGTGAGAAACCCTGTGACAAGTTGAATGTACTAATGTTGGGGCCACTTGAGGTGTGCGTAGTGCTAGGAGTGCT